CAATTATAATTCACACAAGTAACAGCTGTAAAATGTCCGGTTCTTCTGGTATTAACCACAAAAGACAAAGCTTTTCTGGAGTTACTCGACACAAGTGATTCAAATATTTCATAGCGCTCTCCGGTAGAGGGGGAGAATAACCAAAATGATGCAGTATATGAAAAGGACTGTATAAACCTTGATAACTGAAGGTGTTCAAACCATGCCAAGTTTCAATTAAAAACATAGAAAAGCAGGCTATGTAGGGGTTGTATTTCATGGTTTTGAAGAGGATCAGATATTTTGGGTTTGTCATTGACCTGCCATACCAAAAACCTGAAAACAAATCTGTATTATGAAAAAGAGCCATTAAAAAGGAGAACTATGAGGAGGGTGGTTTTCACTCAACCTCATAGTTCGAGCCGACATGTGACAATGAAACTGTCAGGCGTCGGCTCAATTGATCCGGAAGTAAGCGAACACATACTGTCGCTCGCTCACTTCTCGATCAACTCCCTGAAGAGAGCCGTGACGGTCACTCACGGCTCCCTGCAGGGATTCCCCCCTCTGATCCTCCAGCGCTGACTGGGGGAACGGACGGGGGAGGGTACAGCTGGCTCTGCCTCTAGATAGGCAGAGCCAGCTGTCACTCACGCAGCTGGGTGGATCTCGACAGCATTGTAGGGATCTGTCCCAGCTGCAGCGGTCCAAGTGTGAGCATATTAATGAAGTCGATAGATTGCATGCAGGTGTACCTGGAGGTAGCCTACTCCTCATTAGATCTCCTTAAAGGACCCCAGTCTAGTAGCTACACAACACCTCTTCCCACCATGTGGTCCCATGAGGTCAGTGTAGGGGCCATTTAAACTATGTTAATTCCACACAGCCAAGAGATGGTGGGTTTGACTGAAGACAAGAATATTTTGTTGAAAAGGTTGATAATTTATATTGACTCAAATGTAAGAAAGATTCTGGAACTGAAGTGTCTCTCAAAAGGGAGTGGAGGTTTAAGGAAAAGGAGATGTTACCAGCTTCAGTTTTCTCATAACGGACTTTAAAATTACTGTGGGAGCCAAAATGGTTAAATGTTTACATTACAAATCAGAATAGATGTGATAGTAGCAGGGACAGAGCAAAAGATAGTCAGCATATACACGGATTGGCCAGATTATTATGACCACCCCATCAGTACTTCATTGGGCCACGAGATGACTTCGTTGGGCCGCCTCGTGACTCCACGAGATGTTGAAAGGTGATGCGAGGAATCTGACACTGCACTGTTGCCCTTCTATTGTTTTGTACCAGTCTTGCCACTCTCCGTTCTGCCCTAACAACAGGTCGCTGACGGCCACTAGTCGCTGACGGCCACAATTTGCACTTCAGACCCAGATTTTCGGCTGACAGTCCAGTCGTCTTTAAACACTTTAACAACAGCTGCTCTTGAACATTTAACGAATTCTGCTGTTTTGCTGACACTCGCTCCGAGCGCCAACAATCATTCCACGTTCAAAGGCTGTTAAATCGCGTTGTTTACCCACATCTTCAGAAAAAAAAAAAAATAACTTCTACTGTCGTGGTAAACAACCTGCTTCCCTATTTATTATGGTCTGGCCCTCTAGCAACTTCAACGTGAAATTATAGCTAATTTGCCTACAAACGTCAGGTGGTCATAATAATCTGGCCACTCAGTGTATATACCTCCTATAATGTTGGATTGCAATCCCAGTGCCACGTACATTAGGATTGTTCCATATAGCAGTAGGCAAGTGTTCCATAACTAAGATGTACAGCAGAGGAGAAAGGGGGCAGCCTAGTCGAGTCCCCTTACTACATATAGAAGCAGAAAGGAGACCATTTACTCAGATCCCGTTCTAAGAATGATGATGAAGAGCCAAATTTTGCCAAGAATATTAGGGCCTTGGCCTATATGAAGAATCCACAGATATGTTGGAATCGATTTTCTCTGGGTATACAGACAAGAAGAATTATGACACAAAGGCCTCACTGTTGGATGATCCAATACATATATAAACTTGAGTCAACAACCAAGCTTCATCTATTATCATTTTTTGGGAGACTGACCCTTTATAACTGCTGGATTTCTTTAACATTGCTGAATTACGAAAATAAAAATGACACCTGAATATACCAGCACCCCGTGCATGCAGGATCCTCACAAAGCTGATCTTTAAAAGTAGAGCATACAATGAGACAATCCAATAATTAGCCAATAAACTGGACCACGAGATACAGTAGATTCACATATATCTCATGTACTACACTGGCATACTTCTTTAGGGCACTTCTTTAAAGAGATCCTTTGAGGTTACTTTAATTACACTAGTCTTTACAACGTTGTCAAAGGTTGGGATGTTTTAGCCTTTACAATGTTGTCAAAGGTTGGGATGTTTAAGGGAAGTATATTTGACCATATTTGAAAATCTCTACCGGCTGCTAATCCACCCAGTTCAAGTGGATTCTTGGATTTTGATTGATTGCTCATAAGCAATTCCAAAGCACATTTTTTTAATCAAACATTTGCCAAATTGTTTTGCGTGAAGGGGGTGTTCCATTTCATTGCTATGTCTTTTACATTGTAGTCAACATTTTAAAAAGATACACTTTTTAGTGAGTCAGTGTATTTTAGCCAGTCAGGTACAAAACAAGAAAAAAGGACAATGTACCTCATACCAATGACATCACCTGCACCGTATGACACTATAGAAACTCCTGAATATCTGTCACTTTCTGGGCTCTAAAAAGCATCTAGACCCCCTGATGTGTACCTCTGCCACCATGGTTCAGCTATTCTTCCATCTGTCAAGGTTTTATCATCAACTCCCCCTCCTCCAAATGAAATGTGATTGTGTAGAACTGGATAGAAAACAGAATTAGCCTGTATTTTGACATTTACTACAGAAATAGAGAAATGTATTTTTCACCTATTTTTACTGCAATAGTGCTGTAAAGGGCACATTTTAAAAGAGCTTTCCCTTAAATCAATATCACAAAATCAGGTACTGAGCAGCGCTGAATAACGGTTTTGTGTCGATTGATTATAAAATCATTAATTTTAACCCTCAACATGAAAATTTTTTGTTATTCACAAGAAAAATAAACCACGCCCATTGTATTCTGAGTAATATAGCGTGCTAAAGTGAACCTGTCAGCCATTTTAAATACCCTGTTTCCCCAAAAATAAGACCTAGTTGTGACCATTCCCAGAGACGGTGGTGGCATAAGGGGGAACATGAAGAGCTGCAGGAGAGAATCAGCGGTGCCAACGAAGCCAGCGCTAGAGGAAGCAGAGCCGCATGAGCCGATGCCGCCTCTATAGCGCCGGCTCCTGTCACAAGCGGAGTGATACCAAATGCACTCCGCCTGAGAGGAATTGATAGTGAAAGTGCATTTCGCTCATTCTGGCCGGCAATTGGTTAGCAAATTGCTATTGGAAAGGTATGGCACCCCTGATCACCATATTTTTGTACATGAATATATGTAGACCTTTCTACATGAATAAGTGTGGATTGTTGTACATAAAAAAATAAAAATAAGACCTACCCCAAAAATAAGACCTAGTGTGTTTTTTGGAGCCAAAAAAAAAAATATAAGACAGTGTCTTATTTTTGGGGAAACATGGTATTTAAAACCAAAAGGTCACATCTAGCAGCAGGAACCACATGGTGTCCAACACTGCCTTTGTTAGCCAGAAAAGCCTTTCCAGTGCACCCTTCTGATCCTAGTTTAAACTGAGCTTGTGGCCAGGCTATAGATATTTAAGCATTTACATAGTAACAGGCAGTAAATTGGCTTAAAAACAAGCCCTCAATGACGGCTGTAGCTACAGAACTTTGTAGCAAGTCATCCTCAGATTTTACTTAACAGCTCATTTCACCCTGCGGTCGTCTCATAGCAGTGACTTGGCAGCTTTTCAACGTAAATGCAGAGCAAGAGATCTGGGAGTGGGAACAGGGCTGAGCAACATTCTACAACTGACTTTGCCTTTGTTGTCAAATTTGAGGATGAACTGCTCCACAGTGCCTGCAGCTACAGAGGACAGTAAGGGCTTGTTTTTTTTAAAGCACAGCTATTGCTTATTAAGAAAATGTATATACTTAAATGTAGATAGCCTGTAAACAGGCTCACTTTAAGTCTGTAATTAGAGAAAAGAGCAACTTTAGAGGCTAACACTATATTACCAAATAATCCATGCTATACCCCTACAAATATCGCAGCAGCAGTGATAAGCTAATGTGCAAATGAATACCCAAAAAACACAGCGCTCAAACTTTACCTATAAAGTGCTAAAGAGATACCAAAATTTATAAAGTGCTTAAAACAAAACAGAATAGTAAAACAAATTCTGTGGTTATGACAATGAATTAACGTTGCTTACCACCTCCTTGCCTATATTTGCCTGGCAGTCATGTTGAACCTCTAAAATTTTAAAACTTTGTACCAGTGACTGCACACAGTGAAGTCAGGACACCGGATATACATTCTTGATTTGGATCAATGACTTAAAACGTATTGAAGCCATAATATTCTCATGACAGACAGGCAACTAGCACAGTTAGGCTTTAAGATCTCAACGTCTAAGAGTTGAAGAATAAACTTTGTCCAATGAGAAGTCCTCAGTGGCCAATAAGAGCATGCCCATGGTTACGAGAATGGTGAGTGGGGTATAGCAACAATGTCTAGGAAATCAAGTCAAA